GATGGTCACGTGACTAATCACGTGACAAATTTTTAGACTCCCAGATACTTTATAAGTTGCTGTTGTATTAAGAAGCAAGAAATCTAGGCAAAGAACTCCAGAGAAAGCTTAGAAATAAGCATTTTAACTCAGCCTCGTTCCCATGTAAGGGCCAAATATGTAATTTTTGGACATGCGCGTAGCATGTTTGTGGGTGTAAATTTGGGATGGCTCCATATCAGAAAATGTTAACCTTATAGAGGTTAGTAACCCTGGGAAGTTTCATGCTTTTATCACAAAACGAACAATTCTGGTTATTTTTGGCTCTTAACAGCAGGACTAATATAGGACAGGCTGTCACTAAGCCTCCGACTGTGCTGTTATTTGCGAGTTACGGAACTGATTATCGATGCATTAGGTGAGAGGTGAAACTGAAGAGGAAAAAAACGCGTTTAATAGAATTTACAATCAATAATGAACAAAAGTTCATTTAAAATGTGTTATTTTTAGTGCTCAGCTTATTGTATCAGGACAGTTATGACTACTGTGTCGTGTCAAATTACGATTAAAACATTACTATCGGGAACTAAGAGTTTATTGCCGGGAGGGACTCCCATATTAAATGGTCGGGGATGCTCGTCGCAAAATTTGAGTTACATCTAGTATTCTGAGCTGGAAGCACAAATATCGGCTAAAATCTGAACATATTCACTCGCGTGTCGGTTTATCCGTGGTTTATCGTCAACAAACTGCGACTGGCAATAATTATTATTTCCGCTGATGAATAAAAATAGTCATCATTTACGTTGCTGGTTCTTAGTTCTGGCTTACCCTTACAGGTCTTGGCTGCAGAGTACTCTTCCATCGATTCAATTTTGACCTTTGCTGGATACAGACTGAACTATTTGTGGCCACTGGAACTATTTAAGTCAACAAATGTAATCAAAATATAGCCAATGTAAAATGGCTGCTCTCACGGTTAAAAAGCCAAGGCGATTCAAAGTCGTGTTCATGAACAGAATAAATAACTGTTGTCCTAGTTAGGTAACAAAAGCACGTCATCTCGCATCCTGACCAAACAGGCCACGCACGGTCTAAAGGGCACGCGAAGGAAACGAAACTGCGAATGGGTGCGAAAAATAAGGAGCAGGGGAGGGGGTGAGGAGAGCGCACCACCCCCTCCCCCCTTCTCGCTCACCCCCTCCCCACCTCTCCCCAAAGTTTTGCTCACCCCAGGCGCGCTCCTTTGCTCTCCGCTTGCCAGCTCGCTTGCTCGATCTCTCCGCCTGGGAAAGGAAAGGAAACGGTTGCTACGCAGACTACGCACGGTCCAGAATAAAAACTACTAGAAACGAACGATCGCGAACGATCGGAAAAGCAAATCCTCTCGTATGCACGTGCTTTGCGATGATGTAATTTGTTTTCGCCAAAAAATCTCACTCCAGTCTGTATTAGGACTACATTCCTTTGTCGAATGCAATCTGAGTAAAAAACCAGTTCAAAGAAAACCCCGAAACATCGAAAACAACGAAAGAAGCCACAAAAGAGAACTGAAGAATGACGTAGCAGATGAACACGAAACGAGGCAAAAAGCCCCTGAAAAAACCTAGAGGGGCGGCCAATTTGCTTTTTTTTCACAAAAAATCTCGATTTCTTTTGGCTGCAACCAGGGCGAAACGAAATTAGGATGCGTTCTCTCGTTCCTCGAGAACGTAATTATTTCTTCGAGCGCACCCTCTGACAGCTAAAAATGATGCGAGTTGCCCCAACCCGGGGTGGTCAGTACTTTCGGAACAATACATTACGCTCTTTCCCTTCTCTTGCCAACAAATCGATTTCAGTATGTTTCTTTAGCCTTCTTTGAGTCCTCCTTTTTGAAAAGTATACGTTAAGCCTCTACTGAGGTCAATTTGCAGTTGTCAGTGCATTTCAGCCGGTTATCTCAACTAGCTAGTCTATGGTACTATTGTTTTTCGATAACATTTTAATAACGACAATAATGTCTGCAAGGAATTTTAAAAGGTGGTGAAAGCATAAGTCACGAGGGTAACCTTGGGCCTAACATTAAAGATCTCCTGGCAAATAAACACAAAGCAACTTGGACTGGAGTCTTGCTCTGTCTGAACTCGTCTTAAAGTGTAGAAGACTCAGACAAATACGGTGCAATGAGTTTTGAGCTTAATATATTTGCCATATGTTCACGATTCTCTGTACATGATGTGATTCAGTTAGAGCGAGATCTGTCAGTTGGTAGGTAATCTTGTGTCATCAAAATCATAACGTTGGTGGATCACAGACTGAGACTGAAGGTATATCTTGACAATTTTGTGTTTTTCTTGATTCAGAAAGCGGATAAGCACAATTTACTACATAAAACATCATCATGGCGCAGCACGATTTACATGGCAAAACGTATATGATAAAGCATCAAGTCAACAAAAACGTATCGAGCCATTGCTAAAGTCAGGATCATAGACTCATTCGATCGTAACTGCTTCATAGTCCGACACTTAGACGTAACGCTGCTTTTAAATGAGCAATCAAATAGTCAACTAAACGATACAATTAAAATCATTAAATAGGGCTCTTGGCAGGCCAGTTGAAATCATTAAAAACATTGTCCTTCTTCGTAACATTCAGGTCCTTATCATGACAAACAACGAAATCAATGAAAGTCATTTTTAGCGGAGTAGCCTGAGAAAAGGCCAGGCGATACAACGCAGATTGAGTGAAAGACAAAGTGAATCATGAAGTGAAACGTGTTCAGTCAGCTTTTCCTTTACTGTGTGTTGGTAATTTAAGTAGGCTTAGCCAGCCAGTCATGTTCACTTCGGGCAGTAACTTCTTTAGTAGCTGTTGTACAATAATAATTGTTTTTCTTTCTGTATATTTGTGTTTTCTCCACAGAAGGAGCTCCAATAAATGGGATATTCTCATTACGTAAGTTCCTTTTTTTTAAATAGAATTTTAGTTTATTACCACAGGTGAGACACTGAAAAATGCAAGAAACAAAGCAACTTCGTCGGCACTGTTAAATGCAGTATTTAAAATAGACTTAATTATAAACACAGTTGTTTGACCAACTTTACCTTTGCTCAGCTAATTATAAATCCTGATGAGAACTTTTACTTTTACGTTGGAGCAGAAAGAGCTTCTTTATAGAACAGTTTCTTTAAATATAAAGATAAAAACAAAAAATGACATCGATCATACGGGGCAATTAAAATAGTTCTCATAGCGAAATCTAATCAAAGGAAGATCACAAAAATGTACACTAAATTACACTAAATAACTGAGGTCAAATTTGCAACAATATAAACAAATAACCTCACGTACAATAGGAGCATCTGTTCTTAATTACTAATTATTGTTGCTTGTTTTACTAATGTACACTTTGGAGTTGGCGATTCTCCTGGACGCTTTATAATATAATAACAGCACGCTGCGAAATGCTATAAAAAGTTCAATGTGTTTCGAAAACCACCTTCCTAGCGAAGTGACAGAAATATACGTCTTCGTCAACTGTCATATTAAGCACGTCAGTTATTTTTTGTAATCTGTAAAGACGTTCATTAGCTCGATTTGATCAACACGTTACGTCGTTGTAGTATTTATAATGACACACAAGTTTCACAACTGATAAACGTTGGAAGTGAAATTATTATCAGTTGAAAGAAAGGTGACAAGTGATAAGAAAGGACAATCATTACATCCGTCTTTATTTCGTTAACCACTGCATGGCGGTGACTTTGCAAATAAGCGTAGTACAAAGGAGACTTACAGATCTATGTACCTCGAGTGACAAAACGTAGCATTGTACGCATTTAGTTGCGGGCGCCTTGGCTGTCAGGCATTTCAAAAGAAATATTAACTCTCACTCTGCATGGCTCAGTGTTGACATGAAGAACCTCATAAAAATGCAACATTCAATCTGCTGGACGAAAAACAAAGTCGCAGACGTCCATGAGCGAGATTGATCAAAAAGAGCAACTTTCTTCTTAGAAATACAACAGCCTATGTAGTGTCTGTGAAAATTGCAATGTCATGTCGTTCCCATCATTGTGATTTTTCAAATCTATTTCCAGGTATACCAGACTCGTTAAAATCTCAAACATCAAATTGAAATTGGTCCCAGGCGACTGTAATACAGCACAGTTGTTCACTTCCCAACAAAATGTCAGCCGTGGCTTTCCATGTGGTAATTCAAGTTTCACTCAACGGTTATGCATGCATATCCAAAATCCAAAGCACTGATAAACGTTTCCCATGTCAATATTTCAAAACCCTCCACAGACAAACAGCACAATAATATTGGTAGTTTTGAAACACATTCCCGGCGCTAAATTTTCTTTTCCAATATTAGATTTCTGACTATGTTCCGAAACTTAAGGGAGTAAACAAATTGCGTTTTTAATTCTTACGCTACAATCTCCTTATCGTCTATGTTAGTTACGTCCGTGGCCTAAGAAACCTTCATGATCTCTGCACAGGATAGTCAACTGAACGATAACAAACAACGTCAACAAACTCCTCCTTATTCACTATTTGCTGCACGTTCAAAAGAACAAATACCATTATCAAGTCCGGCAACAATTCCTTGCCTTGATACACCTATGTTACATTTGATCTCAATCTAAAGAACAGTTATTTCACTGGAAAACATTAACAAAAGCACTAATTTGCTATGTAGTCTACCTACAGGTGAAACCAGGGCTCATTTTAAAATATTCCCAGTTTTTGAGATGCCGGGTTATAAAAGGAAACTACCCTGATTTAAAACTTCATACCTGTTGCTACCTATCATTGCTGCAAGCGAAAAAAATAGAGCTTATGGAGTGGTATTCCTACGTTTATAACATACAGAGAAAACTCATGATCGTTCCATCTCCACCTAGACACCACCGAAGACTGAGTTGGGTCGTGATTCTGTCGAAAGTACTTGTGAAAATACATTTTCAACGGTGACAAGAAAACTTTCGAGTCTGTCGGTCTCGCAAATCATTAGTCTCTTACTTTAAATTATATAAATAAGCGAACGCATTTCTTTCCTTATGCGAAATTGTCTAAGAAAACCTCCACTGATTTATTCATGACAAAATTCTATTTCAGAGGGGGAGGCAATAATTTATTCTTTACATTGGTGGATGCTTTTAAGGTTTGATGGGCCTTTTGAAGTTCTTGTGGCATGATACGTATCTAATCAATGAAGAGTTAAAGAAAATACAAAAAAGATTATTTTTTTAAATGGATAACATGCTTGGGTTACTTCCTGACAAAAATTCCCACGCACTTATATGATACCTTTCAGTGGTTTCACTTCTTATGTCCTGCCAGTGGTTTTCAACCTTATAAGAAACATTCGAAGTAGTCGTACAATATAAAATTCCTTCAACACCGACAACGTTTTTTGCGAAATACTTCGAATTCACAAAAGCACTTAAACTCTTCTATTTTTACCAACTACTTGAGCGAAACTAGTTACTTCATTAACAATCTCTATCTTTGACTCACGTTTAATTTTAAAATCACTTAAAGTTTCAGTTGAGATAACGGCTAAGTACAAAAAATTATCACTTTTATCTTTTTAAAACTCTAGCAGACGGCTAAATGTGCTCAAATGTAGTTTCACTAATTTGTTATGCAGCAAAACTAGGGCACAGAAAGAAGAGGCTTTTGCCCCCGAGAAAAGGCGAATTTGCTACAGGCAGCATATAAAATGAACAAAGAGTGAATATTTTACACTAAATGGTCACTGGAGCGGTTTTAGAAACAGTTTGCTCCTTATTCCTTTTTAAATGGTCAATAAAGAATTCGTAATTGACTGAAAAAGCATTTAAACGGCCGAACGAAGGGAAAAATAGGCGAGAAAAAATTCCTACCTATATAACCCAGGTGAGATAGAACTCATACCAATCTGATGAGTAATTTGTCATTTTCTACCACTATAGTACATTTGCATTTGTGTCAATCTGAGTCACGTTAACCGCAAAATATCAAGTTTTGATGTAGATAAACCAACTTGGGGGCTCTGCTCAATGAGGCTCGACAAACGACATGACTGCTACGGGAAGAGACAGCACGCCATTTTATAATAATATCCTTAACGGGAAGCAATGAATAAATATAACCAGCTGTAGACATACAGAAGTTTATAAAGTAAATCTAAAAATTCATGTAAATGTAATACTTCCGGAATTGATACCAAAAGCTGAATGGGCGTAAGTTATGATTCTAAAAGCGTCTTAGCTATCCTTTAGCGACCACTTATCAACACTTGCGCCCTTTCATTATTTTTAATACTCATAAAACTGAACGACTTGATCATGCGAAGTCTTGTCAATATATTTTCTGACTGCTCTACCAGATTAACTGTCTTTGTTCTTTTTAAAATAAACAAGACAGACTGAATGTAGCTAAGAAAGAACATAATGGAATCGGTAGCTAAGCTAGGCCTTTTGTATTATGGATATTTTAAGATCACGATAAGAGTTTTTCATAGCGAACGTGACTCTTGAAGCGGTAATCTCGAGCTAATCTTTGACATATTTGAAGTGCCTGTGTTACAAATTATTCATTTGGCGGCAACACTCGGTCGCCTCATAAACACTTGTGATAATGACCTATCGGAAAGATCGCAAAGTCGTTAAACTTGACAGGTTTTGATTCAAAAGCATAATTCTCAAGCGTATATATTAAAAAGACCTATTACCTATTTGATTCATGACGAAAACGGTATAAAATACGTTGCACTACCACAGTATGGTGAGTTATTTAACTTCACCTTGGCGCAGGCGACAGAACACCTCTTAGGACGTGTTCGAAAGGTAGGGTATCACGTTTTCTCATTACAATTTACGTATATATGTAATAGCAAAACAGCTTGACTTCAACACAACATAAAATTCTAAACTCCTATGATGGGATTCAAAACTAAATCTTATCGAGGACATAATTTATCCTGTAGCTGAGTCATCAAGACGTTGCAAAGTTTTGTTTAATCAAACAGTGAACAATATAGTAGGAAAATATATTGACTAACAAAACAAAACGTACCGTAAGTGTTATAGTAAATGCTGAAAAGGTAATCACAAGTTTGTGTACTAAAAAGGTGTAAAACGCCTGTTCGATACCCATTTCAGCGAGAAATCAGAATATTATGTTAAATTTCCTGAAATGATTTCATATCGTCTTCAATTAAGCAGTCTCCAATTATAATTTTTCCTTGCCCGTGAAATTTGAAGGCAATATGCGAAGTTCACTTCGATGACTTCCGCTCCGCAACTGGTAAAGTTAATCAGTGAAGAAATCATTATTTTTTGGATTGTTTATTATATCCTTGACTTATTATCAATGGATAGAAATTTTTTAAAACGTTGAAAGAGCAGCCACAACATGCCGGCTACGCATACACTATGCTATGCCGGCTTCGCGTACAGTTGATAGCAACTTCTTTTAAAAATAGAGTAAAAAAAAAAACAAACGTTTTCAAACATTGTATTATTCTCGTAAAATACAAAGTACGATGTTACTAGACACCAGACAAAAAATTTTCTTCAAAGTTTTTTTTTTCCTAGATGAAGAATGTGTGAACAATGTTTATCTCTTCAGAATCAAGTGTTGATAAAGAAAATCAGCCAATGGGCGCAACAGAAACTTGTCAGATATTAAAAATATTTATTATATGGCTTTGGCTTGTGGCCGATATAACGCGCGCTCTGATTGGCTAAGAGCGAGATCTGAGCGGTCATTATGCAGCCGTAATGCCCACGGGCCGATTACGGATTATGCAAATTAGGAAGAGCCCGGCTCGGAAAATTCAAGCGCATTGAAACGATGAAAGCCGATTAAAAACAGTAAGAGAAGTAAATTTAATTCCGAGTAACTAAAAGTTTAGGGATTTTTCCTTAATAAAATTTATATAGAAGCTGTTTTTGACTCAC